TCGATATCACGTTTTACTTTTCTGTTCGATAGGTGGCGCCGGCAGCCCGCCGCAACCGGCCATTTCCTTTGTCGTCCTCGGTGTCGGTCTCGTACTTTAGTGTAATTCTGTAATTTTTCGKCTCCTTTATTTTGTTTAGTGGATCGCTGAAATTGTTTTTCTCGTATTTATTATTCACGCTCAATTTCACACGTATTGTGTTTTTATTTAAGGTTTTTATTTAATCATAACGTTAGCGTTAATCACACCGTGATCTCGAAATTTTTACCCTCAGCCAACGACGACGAAGGCGATCCGGTGTGTCGCGTGTAATTATAGATACCAAAAGACATCTCGTCAAAAAATCCAATAAACAAAACGCATTTGGTTTTGGTAGCATGCAATTGAYCAGTTATCAGTAGACAATTTATCAAACTTCAAGAAAGCTCCGACTGGATCAACCTGGCTCCTCAACTTTTAAAAAGGTAAGTCATCCCCATACATTGAGTTAATTAAACTCGTATGGCTAATCTATATCTAAATATACTCCTTCTCTATAGGTAAGTGTTTTCTTATAGTTTATGTTTTGTCAGTTTTTTCGAGGTTTTTTCATTTTATGCAACATTGCCTTGTTAGGTAAAGAACTTGAAAAAAAAGGTGTTAGATACTTGTTATCACATTAAATTAAGATTAGGTAGGTACCAATTATTAAATTCTGATAAAACTGTTTATAAACCAAATGTTTTTATTCTAATGAAATCTTGTCATCAGTGATCAACAGTTAGTTTCCTGTATATTATGTATCTGTGATTACAGTTGTAGAAATTTGATAAAAAYAATGATCAACAGTCAGATTTCTGTTTATTTGTTTTTATTTGTTGGTATAGGTATTTCACCGATATCCATATTATATTAGATAGCCGATTATTTTCAAATCGGCTATATAGGCAAATAGGATAATGTTTACAATTTTTTTTTTTTAATATTTCTAATTGTGATAAGTAATTTATGTCAGCAAGGTAAACCAATATTCAATATCAAACACATTAATCATCATATTGGCATTCAACATAAGTTTTTAAATATTGCCCTAACTGCATATAGCAACCAACTTCATGTTTGAGTGTACAATAACATGAGGAGTCAGGTGTCTAGTATACAAGATATCAGTGGTATATTCATAAACTGCTTAATAATTAAGTACTATGTATCTATGTACTTGTCTTTTAAATACATTTTAGGTAGCTACCTACTTGGTTTTGGTCAGTTTGGGTTTTCAAATGAGGTGATATTTGATAATTATTATCTTACTGTATTATCTCCAATTCATGTTTTCTTGACATTGACATACCTTCAGTTCTGACATTTTTTAGCTTGAATAGTACTTATAATTATTTTTATGCTTCTAACGTTGATGTTATTAGGACTACATTAACTAAACGAGTTACTATTAATTTTTACTATCTACATTAGGTCTTAAGAAAGTTTCAAGTAGTCTTGAAAAGCTTCAAGATTTAACAATTTTCTGAAAAATTGTTCAAGAAAATTATTTTAATTATAATTGTTTAACTCAAATGTAGGAACTGTAAATTACCATAGATATTTTATAGACCTTATATTATCTTTATATATCTTTGGTAAATCTCATTAAGTATCTATTTGTTATATTTGTTATTTATATTTGCTCATTTATATAATTTTTAAATGTAGATTGAAGAATTAGCTATAGATAAATAACAATTAAGGTTATGAACATGAACCTTATCAGTAACATTTTACATTTATTCTTATATTTTATAGTAATTTAAATAATTTATTTTGGGTCATTGATGAATTAATCTAGTCTAGTATTGATAAAATTTTATTAAAGGTCTCCATTTTCAAACATTGCAGCGGCGACGGTTAACTTATATGTCTTGGCGATGCCGCCGCAATGATGGTAAAATTGTGCCGACTTCGTAGTTCGTTTTGCTTTAACCACCACTGCTACTGCTAGAGTATATTGTGTCATGTGACTCGTTGTGAGGAACCTACTATAAAATTATTATGCCCATTGTATGAATATTTCCAGTTATTCGTAAGCAAACAAAAATTTGAGATAAAAATTTAAAACTGGTTTTATTATGGTTTATAATACATTTAAATGGTGTAACATTACGAGATATTGATGTTTAGTGGTACATTTCATAATCTATGTATTTTCATACTAATTATAATAATGAATGTTATTAACTAATTTGAGTGTTTTCGTATTGATTGTTTTAATTACTACTTATAATTTTTAACAATATTTTGCTAAATAACGTGATGCTTTGCAAATGAAGGTAAACTGGTTGGTGCTTGGCACCTATAACAGTATTTTGTATTAAGTAATTATATCTCAGTCCTCAGCATTTAATTGATTTTAAACTCTGGGCGGAGTAATGAATGTATTAGTTTTAAAATGTGTTTATTTTTTTGTTATAAATTTTTCGAGAAACAAAAATGCTTAGGGTGATTCTGGATATTCTAGTAGAAAATTAGATGTATGTAGTTAGCTCTTGGCACTCTTTGCCCACGAATTYCCCCCATTCACTAGTATACAATTCCAAATACTTTTTTAACACAACCAGGAAAAACTAACAAGAAATACTAGAAAAACGAAAATATTTACGCAACAGCCGTTTTTGAAAAAATTGATTTATTTTATATTATGAAACAAAAACAAAACAGTGGATACTTTCAATTTTCACTTAATAGTTAATATTTAAGTATAACTATGATATTTCCTCGTATTTCTATATACCTATTATCTACATAATGATTGTGAGAACCATGATAAGTTATTTTTTAATTTAATTTATTAAATTTATTTAAATAAACATATTCGACTAAATGTTGAAATTCAATATTTAATGAACAAAAAACAATCTCTCTTTTAACTGTTACCAATTTAATTTCCTTAAAAATCTAGGTGATTCATTTCAGTGGATATAACAGTATCATATTTGATTTAATTCATATTTATTTTTTCGAAGTTTTAAATAAAAATAATAAAGTTGCATAATTGTATGTCATTAAGAAACAACAAAATCCTAATTACAATTCATTTTGTATAATTTTTCAATTAATGGTTCCTTTTTTGTTTGACAACATTTTAAATTTCATATGACTAAAACATTTTAATTAGAATTTCGATYCTTAAATCGAATTTTAACATTTCAATAAAATAGAGAATTTCAAAGCATTACATTGCTTACCAATTTCAATTGCTTTTATCCTATTCATCTGCTCTTTTAAATAAGTATAGTTATGTATTTACTTATGAATTATGATCTTATTTCTTCTTTACGTGTCGGTATTAATGTTAATTATCATGATAATTATTTTAGTATTGTATAAAATAATATTATTTTTGAACAAAAAAAACGATATTCCTATTTTACTACGCAACTTTTAGAGATTGAAAATATGATTTAACATTACAGTAAAGGTGATGGTAATAAT